AGCCAGTGAGCACTGTTTTGTTTTCGCTCAAATGTTTTCAACATGGCAGCCAGGTCACAATCTTTCTCATTTTAAAGCTAAACAGTACACTGAAATATGTGTCTGAATACATATAAGGCAAGAAATACACAATGCAGTAACAGAATCTTGATTCGTATTTGATCAGCGCTGCCTAGTTTGACAGTCTGACCAAAGCTCACGAGCAGTGAGACACCCCTCGGCTCTGATTGGTTTTGTTCACATATCATTGGAGGCACTGAGAGGAGGCAGTGGAATATGTTTATTTTCCACAGATCATCTGTCTCATGCACTACTGTGTGGATAAAGCAAATATTACAAAAAGTTATTTTCATAAAAGTTACCAACTGTAGCTTTAATCAATAATGAAAATAACTGTCAGTTGCAGCCATAATATTATGTGTCCTTTGTATGTATGTGCAGTATGATAAAATTGTTCCTGGTGCCACATAAATTTGTTCTTAGACTTCTGTGCAGTACACTTACTATACAGTAGATACACGTTTTGTTCTAATAATGAAGGAACAAAGGAGTATTCACCCATTATCATGCTTGTTGTTCAGGCATGCTTAACATTTGTCTTTACATTCTCATTTTGTCCAAGGACTTATCTAAATATTTAACTTACTCATGCAAAATTCCTAAACCCTTTCTTGTAGTAATTTATATTCCCTGCTTCCCCTTTTTTATACAGTAGGCAGTGGAAAATGGCAGAAAACAGAAATATTTTTTGTTGAACATTTTACTGTTATGTGTGAAACATGCAGGATGGAGAGCGTCTGCATTTGCTGACAAATCTATGAAGCTTTTTCAGTCTTCCAGTGGAGGGTGCTACTGTCCTTGGTAGTGCTGTGCTGCTGGATTAATACTCTGACTCTGTGGTCACAGGTGGTTCATTGGTTTGTCAGTCACTTTGCCGAGCTGCCTTTAATCTGGATCTCTAGTTATTAATTTGTCTGTCCATTTGACTATTTGTGCGTCTATCACTATCTGCCTCTGTAGCTGACTGTCTCACTATCAGCCTCTCCGACTGTTTGACTTTCTCACTTCCTCTTTCTGTGACTCTGCAAAAAAAACTCACTGTATATAACTATCAGTCATGTCATCTTTCAACCTCTCTGTCTGTCTGCCCCCCCCCACTCGCCTCATTCTGTCCCTCCCTCTGTCTGTGTCTCCGTCAGGAATGAGAGGAATCTGCAGCAGAAGCAGCAGCTGGCAGGTGGGTCGATGTCCCACGATGCACTGCGTGGGGCACACCGTGCACCGCACGCTGCACATTTGGCTTTTTATTGTGTCAGGAGCTCAACAATCGCACTCGCATTCACACGCACGCATCTATTCTGCGCGGCAGAGAGAGTGGCATGCGGTCACGGCGTGGACAATGACGGACACAGATTCATCAATTCTCCACAGTGAATTTTGGGGATGGGGTGAGACCGACAGGCGCCCCTGGTATTGACATGCAAACCACAGATATAAAGTTCCGTTCGCCCCTGCGCGACAGTGCATTTGAGCAGTGCCATCATTTCACTCTTGAAAGTCACATACGTGCGTAGACAGGCACTCCGTCGATCACATACACACCGTAAATAACACGCACACAGACACATACTGTACATATAATGAGACAGACACACTAGCTGACCCCCTAACAGCTGCACTCTGCACTAAAATCCTGCTGGGACATGATGTGCTTATGACACCACAGACGGCTGTTTGAAGCTGAAAATAGAGAAAAACTGCACATCGGTTTGAGAGAAAAGAGGAGGACATGGCCGTGTGCCTGCGCCTGCGCGTGCATGTGCGTGTGTGTGTGTGTGTGTGTGTGTGTGTGTGTGTGAGTGTAATTTCTACATTTCAACAAAAACTGGAGGTGAGTCATCATCTGTAATGACAGTGCTTTTCAGAAGCAGCGGGGAGAAGAGGTGGTAAAGAATGTGTGTGCATGTGTTTGTGCATATTCCCTGTAAAATGTGCTTCACATGATAAAACTTCAAGCAACTAAAAGAGGTTTTTCACTGGTTATAAAAACCGTCTCAGTTTAATACTAGTATCTTTATGGGGCTGAATGATATGGCAAAAAATAATTATCAAGACAATTTTTCCATATCATTTGATATTGATATTTATATGGATAAATATCTGGATAATGCTGCCAGCTTGAAGACAGTCCTGATAATGACTAAAGCCTGAGGCCCCTTCCTGTGTAATCAAGCCATCATTTTTTTCACAGCAATCAGTATCTAGTTCCTACAATGTTGAGGCAGAGGGTACCTGCTGTCGCTCTGGTTGAGGGTGAGAGGCTGTCAGTAAATAGTTTGTTGGTCACAGTGTGTGGGTACATGAGACCCTAAAAAAGAGGGTGGATCACAGGGAGCACCACCAGTTGGTCCAGGAGCTTCGCATCCATGATGGCTGTTTCCAGGCATATTCTAGGATGACTCAGGGGCAGTTTGACAACCTGCTGTCTATCGTCGGGCTGTATAGCTCTGGGTATCCAGCAACCACTACCCCCAGCCTTATAACATATTAACATAATGGTGATGGTACCTTTTCAGGTGATGGAACCGGCGGTCATTCAGTGTTTATAGAACCTTAGTTACATCCTCATTGTCTTAATCTGCGCCTTGTCACTTATAAGATAACCAAACCACTTCCATGTTCTGATGTTGTGTTAGCTTTTTTGTCAATACTTCCCCAGCTTTGGAGGATAATGCAAGTAAAATTTCAGCACTTTAGCATAACATGTTCTGTGACTGTTTAAAACAAACCAGGTGTGGATTAAGACGAGGTAGCAAGATACTGCTGGTAGAATGGCCCTAAGATGTCACAGTTCTACAAGTCTGTGTTCTGCTTGTTCAACATGTGTTTGATAAATCATACTGTCTGTCTCCCTTTTGTTGCACTAATATATTCTAGCTTGACGTCATGGCCAGCCACAAGTATGACAATGAATGTATTAAACTGTGTGGACCTTGAACTAATAACGTAGGAGAAATCTGGACCCCGAGGCTAAACCAGTTGGGAACCACTGTCCTAAAGTCTGTTTTATTGTTACCAGACTATCACAGGGCTGACACATAGAGACAGACAACCATCCACACTCACATTCACACCTACAGGCAATTTAAAGTCACCAATTAACCTGCATGTCTTTGGACTGTGGGAGGAAGCTGGAGTACAGGTAGAAAACCCACACTGACACAGAATGAACCTGAAAACTCCCCCATCCCGGGGTTTGAACCAGGAACCCTCTTGCCACTGTGGTCCCTGCTCTAAAGAGCAAAGCCAAGCAAGAGAAGCAGCAGACTGTTCAAGTGTGACCGGCTGTGAGTTTGATCCATATTGAGTGAAAATGTCCAAAGTTTATCATCATTACCGCCATAAATTTAATCGACATCCCCTGTCGAGATCATTTTATCACCCAGCCCTGTGCCTTTATATGACCTACATAAGCAAACAAGACTATCAGTGAGAGGATTGCCTATTATTGGAGGATGGGCAGTTAGTCTTAATACCTGTCCCCAGGTCTGATTCCCTGCAAATCAGACAGAACGATTTACAGCAGATCAAAAGCCTCACTGAGAGTGATAAATTAGCCAGTTAAAGGGATAGTGCACCCAAAAATGAAAATTCAGCCATTATCTACTCACCCATATGCTGAGGGAGGTTCAGGTGAAGTTTTAGAGTCCTCACAACCCTTGCGGAGATCCCAGGGGAGAGGGGGTAGCAACACAACTCCACCTAATGGAGGCTTACGGCGCTCCAGATTCAAACGTCCAAAAACACATAACTGGAACCACAAAATATCTCCATACTGCTCGTCCTTAGTGATCCAAGTGTCCTGAAGCCCCGACATAAAAAGTTGTTTGGAAAAACGTCATTTGAACTGTTTTTAGCCTCATTTCAAAAGAGTTCAAATGACACTTGGATCGCTAAGGACGAGGAATATGGAGATATTTTGTGGTTTCAATTATGAATCTGGGGCGCCGTCAGCCTGCATTAGGTGGAGTTGTGCTGCTACCCCCTCTCCCCTTGGATCTCCGCAAGGGATGTGAGGACTCTAAAACTTCACCTGAGCCTCCCTCTGCATATGGGTGAGTAGATAACGGCTGAATTTTCATTTTTGGGTGCACTATCCCTTTAAGCAGGAGGAGACTTTTCTTCAGAGATTATATTTTATGGCAATAGCTGATACTGAAGCACAATCAGCAAAGAGAAAAAAAAAAACTCAAAGTGACAGTGATCAAGCACATGTGAAACCACAAGTGAACCTTGGTCATCATTGATCAGATGGAGAGAACTCCAGGGTTTGAAAGGATTAGAAAAAAAAACCCTAAATTGGCCCGCTTCCTCCTTGATAGTTTTCAATGTGTCTATTTTATTCATGAAATATTTAGCAAGACGTGGTTTTACATTGATAGATCAAGTTACGTTGGTGGCTAAAATAATGATAGCTAACGCTCTAATTAATGCAAGTTGAATGTAGCTAATGTTAGCAGCATTTTTCACGCAAAGCAAGCACCACAAAGCTTTCTGTGACATCTGACAATCAATAGTAAAGTTTGTATTAAGGTGAGAGGCTAGACCATTGCTATGCATCCTGCAAACAGCTGTGTTCAAAAAAGTAGCATTTGAATTCTTTCACTCGCCTCCTAAACAAATGCACATGCTAGCTAGATAAAGATCTTTACAACACACAGCAGTGGTGCCAACGGAAACAGTACTGCTTTTGTCCACAGGGGTCGCTAAAATCAACACAAAATAAAAGCCAAAATAAGAGCGCTTGTTTTCCACGCCAATAAGTTAATACCTTGACACACACCCGTTCACACCTTCCAGACACACCTATAGCATTCTGTTCATTTATCCGATCTGTGTTCAAATCACGTGAAGCAGCTACACCTTTTATAGCCAATATAAAAATAATAGCTAACAAAATCAACATCTTGGAAAATCCCTTCTATCTCTTGTGTACTCACGTTTTTAGCGTGCCAGATGTCATGAGCTCCGTGACCAGAACAATACATTTCTTTCCTTTGCATGGGCCCTCCCAGGAGTCATAGAAGCGGACAATGTTAGGATGCTGGAGACCCTTCAACATCCCGGCCTCCTCTTTGAAGCGCTGGCGCTCCGACTTGGACAGCTTACGATCCTGCAACATGAGGCAGAAGAGGAAGCTTAGTCACACATACATAAAAACTAAAAAAAGATTGTTCATTTGAAATCTAGAAGGAAGAAGAAGCATTTACCCAAACAAAACAGGTTGTATTAATAGTACAACACCATTATAGTGAGTGTGATTACAATTAAATTAAGTGGGAAGAGGGTTTGAGGGTGGAGAGGGAAGCTAATCAACAGAAGGAAATAAACAAGTGAGGCAGAGAAGAGAGGAGAGGAGGGGTAATAAATGCTTAAAAAACAAACATTGTCAACATCTAACACTGATGCACCATCAAAACCTGCTGCAAGAATACAAACTCAGATAAAATACGACACCAGGTACGATCACAAAATGGTGCCATACTACATTCAGACACAGCACTAGAGAAGGACATGGATGAGGATAAAACAGCAGACTCCTTTCATCTTCACTTGAGGAAGCCTTAGACATCTGTGAGAGTGAGACTGTATGTTGATGCGTCTTCTTTTTATCACGCGCTTCATTTTTCTGAGAGGTGCTTTGTGACAAATCGGTTTATAAATAAACTGATTTTACGCAGGAGGTAAAATTAGGTAAGTTTCTAGGGAGGTTTTTTTTTACATTTTATTTTTAATACTGCGATTCTGATTTGTAACTCCACTGTTGACTCACGGGGAGGATGCAGACAGCCACGTTTCTTCTCCTGTACAAATAGGCCGTGTCTGAAATCACTGCTTTTTAACTATGTAGCACAGCACCAACAACTAACCAGGTAGTTGTCAACTATTCAATTAATTGCCAAATGATCAAAAAATAACAATAAATTCTGATTCCAGCTAATTAAATGTGAATATTTTCTGGTGTATTTACTCCTTTGTGACAGTAAATTGAATATCTTTAAGTTGTGGACAAAACAAGACATATAAAGACATCTTTAAGCTTTGGGACACACAGATTGACATTTTTCACAGTTTTCAAATACTTTATAGACCAAACAACTACTCAATTCATCAAAAAATTTTGCAATTAAAACATTTACACTTATATCTATTGATGAATTTAAAGGCATTATAAAGAATGTGGCGATAGAGACGTGCTTGTCTTTCTTTGAATAGTTACTGTTGGTTGTTTTATTGTGAAGTTTTGTATTATATGTTGCATTTGTTGCATTTTAATGTGTTTTGATTGGCTGTTGTAAAAAAGATTTTCAGTCTCAATGGGATTTCCTGGTTGAATAAAGGTAAGGAAAGAAAGAAGAATACTACCAATAATGCGACGAAAAAAGTGTTCATGCTAATAATCCTAAATTCACAAAATCACAAAGAAGCCAAAAGGTGTATTTGCTCAGGACTAGTTTCACCTGGTGACCTCAGGTAATTTGTGATAACTGTGGAGGGTGTCTGGGATCTTAATCTTCTGTGAATCTGCCATGTGTGTAGTTTGTCAAGTAAAAATTCCACCGCAAATTACCTACTTTAATTTGCCAAACACAGAGGTCATGTGATAATCTTAATCTTGTGTGAATCGGCATTTGTGTGATTTGGGGTCATATTTAGGTCCTGTTTTCTTCACGCCTTGTTTCTGCCTCTTCCCTGGTTGAGAATTACTGAAGCTGCATAGGCAATTATAAATGAAAAGTTTGACAGCATTTGGGTGCAGGACGCTCATCTCTCTACACGTGGCAGAATCGGATCTGTTTGTTTAACCCACATTAAAAAGAAAAATGAGGTTACAGTTGTACATCACCATTTTAAGTGCTGTGTAGTGTTTCTGTGATGTAGTGACTATGTGCGTCATACCCAGGGGATAATGTCAGTAAATTCCAGTAAAATACAGACCTTGCTTATCCTGTGTGAATGCGCCACATGAAACACAGACCTAAGGGGGTAATTTCTAAATCACAAGATGAACAGGTAGTAATAGTCCCATTTAAGAGAGGGCTTCAGAAAAACAGAAAATATTCACATTTGAGAGGCTGCAACCAGTGAACTTCTTGGTATTTTTGCTTTACTTACTGATTGATTGTTTCACTTTTTATTTACTTGTTTTTAGATATTAATTTGGCTCTTCTTGCCTTTATCTGACAGTATAGCTAAAGGCTGACTTCTTGTATAGCGCCTTTCTAGTCCTCTGACCACTCAAGGCACTTTCACACTTCATGTCACATTCACCCATTGACACACTGGTGGCTGAGGCTACCTGCTCCTCAGCTTATACATCCACTCGCATACAAATTTTCAGTATCTTGCCCAAGGAAACTTCGACACCGGACAGCCGATCTTCCAATTAGCGGACACCCCGCTCTGCCTCCTGAGTCACAGTCGCCCCGGGGTTGGGGAAGACATGCTGCTGCTAAAAACTCAGCCATTAGTAAATGGTGCACATGCTCTACCAGGTGAGCTACCGGGGCACCGCTAATTGCCTCAGCTCCAACAGAAAGTCTGTTACATAAGGAATGAGAGAATGGGACGGTGATTTTTTGCTACGGTGTCACCAGCTGCTTCTTTTCACCAGGAGTGTGTAACATGCTCGCCCCCCTCTGATCCCACCGCTCTCTGTGTGAGTAAGGACATGATCCCCCTTTGGCTTCCCACCAATGAACAGTCCAAATTCTCTTCTAGAACGCACATCTACTCCTCAGCTACATCCACTGTCCTTCATATTTTGTTGTTTGGATGTGACTTGTGGTCTGTAACACTCACTCCAAGCTTAAACTCTTTGGGTTTATTAGTAGTGGTCATCGCCACCCAGGGTGACCAAAACAAGCTGGCTACATTCTTCCATCCTGTGGACAACTAGCTTCCTAGAAAAGTCCTGCACACACACACACACACACACACACACACACACACACACACACACAGAGTTTAATGGGCATTCCAGCTCTACCACTGATACCTCAATAAACACTGATGCAAAGGGCAGTGTGGGCGGGTCAGACCTTGTAAACAGTGCATGTGTGTGTATTTATACATGAACATATGTGTAAAAGCTGTCATGCGTTCAACTGTGTCAAGCCTGTTTATTTGTTTACATGCCAGCATTTATTGGGGGGGGGAACAAAAAATAAAAATCATTATTTTGTTGTACGCATTATTTTGTGTGTGTTAGTCTGCGTCTATGTGCTTATTTGCTTTGTCTGCATATGTTTGCACGTTGATGCTTCCAGTTTCTTCAGCAGCTCTGTGTCGAACCGTGGCTGACACATTCGGCACATCACTGCCCCAAAAATAAACAAAATGAGAGCTGCCTGACAACGATAAAATATGGTGACAAAACCTTGATTCTCAAAGGATTCCAGCCCAAATATGGTGACGACTTCCTCTGTGGCTCTAACTCATTAAGTTATTCATGCCCTCTTGTAACCTGCAGTTACAAGAAGGTTGCAGCAGATATGACAACAAAAGAGAGTAAAACAAATATGAAAGAGATGCTATAATTAACCTGGAGCAGACAGTTGTGCTTTGAAAGGAAATAATAACACACATCTAGAGCATTAAATAATGTCTGCCACCCTTTTAGAGGATGAAATTACGAAGACTGCTCTGCAGACAAAGAAAGAAAGTGCTGCGGGATGGAAACAAACAAAGTGTAGATGACAGAATAACCGAAACACAGAGACCATGACCAGAGAGTCTTAAATTGCATTTTAAGAGGCAACAGTATTTTTAAAGGTGATGCAAGATCAGACGTTGGAGGTTAGACACCTACTCCTGGCAGCATTATCAGGACTATCACCATGGCAACCAGTTTTAAAAAGAGGTCCAATGAGGGGCACCTTGCCTCCAATTCAACTGTTTTGTCGTTTTCATTCAATAAATCTACAATATTATGACATCTTTTTGATACACAGATAAAATGTTTTGCTTTTTTTTTTTACAGCATCGTATTGTTTTATTTGAGTGCTTCATTTGAATATGGCATTTAAAAGGCATCCAGTGCATTAGTGCCAACCAGCCGAGACAGAGCACGAGCTCAGCATCAATCATTCATGGTGTTTAAAGCTACAATGCCACAGAAATACTAACATTCTGGGGCATGGTGGTGCTATTAGAGGGGGATATCTAGTAGAAATAAAACAGTAGAACAATTTCAATACAATGACCAAAATTATTATGGTTATCAGAATTACCAAAGTGTTAATCAAATTTGCTGAAAAATGAGGGCTGGGCGATATATTAATGTGATATCGATATACTGTTGTGAGACTAAATATTGTTGATTTGTTGTCTTTTCCTGGTTTTAAACGCTGCATTACAGTGAAGTGATGTAATTTTATGAACTTACTAATCTGTTCTAGCTGCTCTATTACATTACTATGGATGCACCAGTATGGATTTTTTCAACCGATACCGATAACCGATAATTACCTGCTTCTCATGGCCGATAACCAATACGATAATCAATAATTTCACATTTTTTGTATTTTAAAAACAAGTGTATAACCTGTTGTTTATGTACACTTGTGGGTAAGAAAGGCTGAGATGCAGTGAGAAAATATGCATGATTTAATATTCCATAGCCTGACTGAACCAAATAAAACTGACATCACTATTGCTAACACAACAAAAACAAAGAGCAGTTCTGACTCTTCATATCTGCCAACATTAGGCTGGGAATAAGAGAAAGATTTTCTGGGGTACTGTCAAATGGCCTACCTTCAACGCCCTTGCCCCCATGTAACCCTACACTACAGACGAATATGATAAATACAAGGATGTGAAAGTAAAATGACTTTTAATCAGAATTAAATTTATAGGTAACGGTAAGAGAGAGGGAAATTATATGGCTCAGTGTTACTGTGTAATTATCTGGTGTATGACTAAAGTGTATAAACTACACTGCAGAGTGGAGTCTCTACTAACAGAGACAAACAGTGACAGCTGACTCATACGAATGAGTTGAATGCACATCGGCAGGTCCGCCTTACATCTGATATATGAAATGTCTATATCATTACGCTGCATTTTCTCCATATCACCCAGCCTTAATTGAAAACCGCCAATAACACT